TCCTTTCCTTTCCTTTCCTTTCCTTTCCTTTCCTTTCCTTTCCTTGTCAGAAAAAAAATAACCAGAAGTTGAAAGTCACAGGATGTATTCATTTTTGTTTTTTTTCATAGGTTCTTCTTTCTTTTCTAAAGGTTTGATGCTTTTGTTTGTTTATTTGTTTTTGTTTAACTAAGTTTATGTTATTTATGAGTCAATGTGTTTTTGCTATACTGAAATGGGAACTTGCTAGGTCCCATTCTCACCATCCTACAGAACAGCAAATCGTTTTATTTACAGGAAACATGTGAGATAGTGTTCATCAATAAATTATTTTAAGTGATCATATTGTAATTTATTTAAGTTTTTTTTAATGCTACATATTTTTTAAAAAACCTTGTATTCTGTCAATTTAGGCTGTAGTTTGAAGAAACAATTATGAAAAAGAAGATATAGGATCTTAGCTTTTAGACTAGGATTTCTTGAGTCCAAAAACTTTTCCCTATTCTTGAATATGAACTTTTTATTATAATATATAAATATAAGGAAGTTCTATTTCAATAAATACATTAATATATATAACCAGCAGCTAATACTATAAGAAAGAAATTTCTAGTTATTTCTTATCAAAATGGAAATTGTTTTAGCTTTCATTTCAGTTTTAAAATGGCAGGCCTTTGTAGACGGATTTTGTTATTATTTTTTATGGAAAATAATCATAGTTCTTGAAATAAGAAGTTAAAATGACATAAAAATAAAAAGGATTTTTGTGATAAAGTGATAAGGTTTGGAGTTTTCCTTTAAAACCTTAAAGCAAAACTCAGAGATTTGACTTTCTTTTAAAACAATGATTTTGTCAGACTTGGTGACTTCACTGTATAAAGAGGACCTGAGAAAAGTACTTTTTTGTTTTGCTTTAATGGCCAAAAATCATAGGAAATCATAGGAAAGTTTTCTAAACATACAGAGATTTCAAATCTTGGAGGACAGGTTGTGGGATGTGATAATTTTAAGATCTTAAATATTCAGTGCTTCTTTTGACTATGTTGGATTTATAGAAGAACTTAAAACTTTGAGTGCATGCAGAGTTTTGGGATGAATTTAAAGAGCAGAAAGGAAGCTTGATTTTTACCTAAGAAACCCACTGTTAATTAATGAACTTTGTATCATTTTATTTTACGATCATGCATAATTTGAATTTAGTCTGGCAAATCAAAAAAGCTACTACACTACAGTTTTTTTATTTAATAAATATGCAAATTATATATATAATACAATAACAAAGATGAAAATGAAATCTCCAAATACGTGAGACAGGTAATGATGACGGCAAATTAAATAAGAACTTTGTACATTGAGCACTGTAATACATATTTGCCTTTAGAATATTACTGCAAATTTCAAGGAATAACTGGGAAAATATCTCTTCTGCCTCTTAAATAATCCCAACTTTGGCAAGTGGGTAGCATAGAGTTCTTCAACGTGGAATGAAATGATTTCCCCAATATGAAGAAAAGTGACCTTTCTTTCCATCTGTGATTTGCGTTATGCTTTTTTTTCCTCTTTCTTTTCATGCATTTGCATTATCATTTCATTAAACCCTCTTGCTTATTTATAATTTTGCTATGATCATAAATGCTATTGATGCCTTGCTTTATCTGCTGTTTTTATTCAATCGACTCTTTAAATGCAGGCTTTTACTCTGTGATAATAATGCCTATCTTATTACTTCCATTTGCAACCAGAGCTGTTTTCAAGAAGCACAACCTTGTTGCTATCACATGTTTAGGCCAATTAGTTGAGATTTCATTGTTGTTGTATTGTTAGAATGAAGTTAACACATGTAAGAATTACATGTTACTTCCTGTTGCCAAAATTATAGAAGAAAACACCATGTACATATAGCAAGTGTAACTACATGAAAGTAGAATATATTCCCTACTCTTGGTTTATAGATTGTTCAGAAAAGTCAATTCTGATCCTGGATTTCTACATCAATACATATATATATATATATATATATATTTAATATATGTTTAACTCATGCCTATCTATCGCTCTTTCACAGAATACTGTAGACAATCTGAAACTGATGATTCTGGTCCTTGCTTGATACTACCACTTCTCTTCCAGCAGGGAAGAGAATTCTTTCTTGTTACCAATATCCCAGTTAGCAGACGATGTTTGTTACCAAGTAGATGTTACGATATTGCCTATTGTACAATGAGATCATACTAACTAACTCCTAGGATGACAGTGATCCACTCTTAACAGAAAATAAATAAATAAATAAAAGGCAACATTCCCGATTTATTTAATGAAAACAAAATTAAGACCCTCAGAATACAAATTTGGGATTTAACATCACCATGTGATGTCATCATGTGTAGTGGTCAACACACTTCTTATAGGTTGACTGGAGTCTCTGATCAGGTCCATCACACTGTCCTTTACTTCTTGAGCAAATTGAGTACATGATAACAACAGAAAATTCCTCTACAATGATCAGCACCATGGTTTCTGTTCAAAGGAGGATAGCATGCTTACACTTCCAAGATCTTTTGCCCCTCCTTTCTCTAAAAATCTATAACCAGACCTGCAGCCCATGAGTAACTCTTAATCACAGAATCATAAGATAGCTTACGTTGGAAGGGATCTTGATGTAGGTATCTTTGCCACCCACTAGATCTGTTTGCCCAAGTCTCCATTCAACTTTGCCTTGAACACCTGGTGTATCCACAACTTCTCTGGGCAATCTGTTCCAGTGCCTCAACACTCTCCAAGAATTATCCTAATATTTAATCTAAATTTCCCCTCTTTCAAAGCCATGCTTCCTTGTGCTAATACTGTCAGACTGTGTAAAAAGTTGGTCTCTATCATATATATAACTCCCTTTAAATACTGAAAGATGCCAGTGAGGTGTCCTTGGAGCTTTCTCCAGGCTGAACAAGTGCAGTTCCCTCAGCCTTTCTTCATAGCAAGATGATCCACCCTTTGATTGTCTTCGTGGCTCCAGCCCTCAGCTCACCTTACAGTGTAGTCTTTCACTTTCCTGGCTTGTTTTTTATTTGATTACCCAGAAACAGTCTGAATATTTTCACTGTCCTTTTGTCAATTGCATTCTATGCAAAAATCCACATGAATACTTTCTATCATAAAGTTATGGGTCTGCATTTACAAGTAACCAGGCTGTTTCCCTTCTCTATAATTAAGGACAAAAATAATTACATATCAAGACTTATAATTTTGTGATGACACTGTGTTAATTATGCTTTTGAAAATAAAAGAATTGTACAAAATATAATTCCTTGTTCAAGAAGAGATGAATAAAAATAACCCACGTTTCTCTTGCATTATTTTCTACAGTAAAACAAATAATTAATAGAAGAATTTACTTTTTTATGAGTGTCTCGCTCCAATTTATAGGAGAGAGAGGAGGTTCTTTTATTATCTATATACCCAGCGTGAGATTAAGAAGCAACGGTTCAAATGTTGGTCCAAACAGTTTATTACAAATCTTAATCAGGGGAAATGGGGAAGGGGAGGACGGACACTATTATGAATTAGGGTAATGGGGAAGGGAAGGAGGGCGATAGAAAAGATAGAAGAGAAGAAGCAAGGGGTCTTTATAGGCAGCAAGAGGGAGATAGTCACCACCATGGATCCAGCGTGGTTCATAGTTCAGTCTTTGATCTTCAGTAGCGGTGGGTCGTCAGGCAGAGTTGTTCTGATGACAACGATGACGACGAGAAGCACGACCACGACCATGGCGATGATGGCCCCTTTTCAGTGCTTTCAGAGTGGTCGAGTCAGCTGTCTTCGGAGTGACAGCTCAAATCCAAAGTGGTCGAGTCAGCTCTCCTTTGAGTGGCAGCTTCTGGCTCTGGGATCTCAGCAGAAACTCCTTTGTTCCCATCTTCCGGGCCTTGCCAGCAGATAAGAGGGAGCAGGGGTGCCCACCTGCTTCCTGTTTCTCACAGAACACGATGGTATCGTTCCCCAATTTTCCCACACCTAGCTGAAGCTGTTTTGTCACAGGCCAGATCTTCCGCCAGTAAACACTCCTGAGCACTCTCATCCGCTCTTCTATAGAGCGGGGAGCTCTGGAGGAAGGGGCTTTCAAATGTTCCCAAAGTGATATCCATTGTCACACGGTTAGCACCCATTAGTTGCCTCCTCAACAAATCAATCAGAGTCTTATCACAAGAAATACCTCAGGAAGCAAGCTTTGAGCCAAAAAAAAAAAACAAAACAAAGAAGGATTCTCACAATGAGGGCAGCTGTCAGTTGTCCTCCGCTGCATTCAGTTTCTGCTACCAGAGGTGAATCAACATTTTCTGCAAGAACAAGACATCACTGGAGTAAAGCAGACTATATTGTTCTATCTCGGTTTCCAAGTCTGTAGCTATACCTGTTTCTTCATGTATCTGCAAAAAGTAGCCATAGAATGAACATGAAGACACAGAAATAAAACATGCTGAAAATCTGAATAACTTCTTTCTCCTAGCATGCTGCTCTAAACTTTCAGTGTTTGCAGTGATTACGTAAGAATTCAGACCTACTACTTCTGAACTATGTTGCTCAATACCTTCATCAATGACCTTGATGAGCGGATAGTGACCACCCTCAGCAAGTTTGCTGATGATATGAAGTTGGGAGGATTGGCTGACACACCTGAAGGGACTAATCTCCACTCAAACATGGCTATATAGAGTCCAAATAGAGACATATAGATTATAGTCTCCCTTACAAAACTTCTGGATCACTCAAATTGCTAGGTGAACTTAACATTCTAAGAACTGAAATTCCAGAAGCTTTGACACACACACAAAAAAAAATCTGACATTTCCTGATGTTGTCCAGATAAATTTATTATTAATGAAACTGTGTTAGTGTCTCTCTTTGTGCCTTTCAACTACTTAAAGCAGATCTATGTCAACAGAAAGGGAAATAAAAGCTGTTATGGAATGCCTTTCTTAAGTCTAGTCAATGGTAGTATTACTTCAGACGATTACTTCAGCTGAAACACTAAGCATTATACAGCTAAGATTTTGCTAGATAAGAATAATGTCATTGAAAACATTAACTGCATTTTGATCACATACTGTACTACATGGTTACAGCATGAAAGAGATAATGCAGAAAATGAATGTCTATTGATTAACTCAGGTAGGAAGGGAAAACCAAACTGTAAAGGTATATTATTCTGCAGAAGATCCAGATCCATGATGCAATTTTTAAGCATTCCTCATTTATAATTCTTTTTCAGTGATAACTGTAAGTATTACTGCTAGATTATACACTTAGAGATAGAACAAATAATGAATTAGTCTGGAATATGGCTTTCTTACCATTTAATTAATTGGATATTGATATTTTTTTCATTGTGTGACCCTCATACCCTTAATACAACCCCCACCAGCTCATCTCTAATGACAAGCTAAACATTGCAGAGAACAATTTGGAGAGAAGGGATGCCCTCCAAAGGGATGTGGAAGATAAGTGGACCTCAAAGAACTTCATTAAGTTCTGCAAGGTGAAATGCTAGCTGGGTTGAGCAATTATAAGCACTAATATGCAGGCTGGGTGAAAAAAATATTCAGAGAAGCCCTGAGGAAAAGGCCTTGGGGATGTTAGTTGATGAAAAACTCAATATAAACCAGCAGTGTGCATTTGTGGCCCAGAAAACCTGAGCTACATCCAAAGAAATGTAGCCAGCAGCGTGAGGGAAAAGAAAATTTTCTTCATGAGAATGGTGAAGCACTGGAATATGTTGTTCAGAAAAGCTGTTGAGTCAGTCCCTTGAAGTGTTCAAGGCCAGACTGGGTTGAGCTTTGAGAAACTTAATCTAGTGGAATGTGTCCCCACTCACAGCAGGCAGGTTGCAACTGCAGTTTATCTTCAATGTTCCTAATGACCCAAAGTATCATATGACATTCGGAAAAAAGAAAAAAAAAAAAGAAAAAAAAAAAAAAAAAAAAAAAAAAAAAAAAAACCACTTATTTTCTAGATTCTGAAAACACTTTAATTTTTCTTCATAGTTGACCATTTTGTTCACTTATATGAAATAATTTTGACAGTTAAGGCAAGTTAGAATCATTAAGTTATTCCATCTCACTCGCATTCAAGTTCTCCTTAAAAGGTATAGTGAGTGTAGGCAAGGTGGAAAGATTTTATGAATCAAAAGAGATCTGTGATCAGTTCCAAAACTATGTAAGAGTATCTAAAAAGACAACAGACAACACACTGATTATGTAAAGTCAAGAAGATATATCTTGTTTCCTTATGTGATTTCACGTAATACTTTCATAATCATACAGTGGCACAGTTCAAATAATTACTATATTGCCCACAGATTTCATCAATAGTAAGTCTTAAATAAGCAGTTTAATCCTCAAGTTCATATACTAAATCATCATATAAATGACATAAAACATACAATAAATAATTTATTGTTAATGTATGTAATATATAGGCAGTTTCATGACAGTAATATGATCCAATACTTATGATTCATATCTATTATATCCAAATATAAAACAACATAGTGAAAATAATAATAATAAATTGATTGCTGATCAAAGTTGGCATAGTTTCAAATAAATTTCAACAATGGATTAGTCAGACAGCTCCAGATTTTAAATGTTCTATCTACGTAAGGAAACAAAGAATCATGGAGCATCCTCATGGCTGAAGATTAGAAGTTTCTAATGATTTTCTAATATACGTCTATATCACAAATGGATTTACCTATGTTGAACATGCTATCGTCTTTGAGACAGAGACTACATTTGCATTATTCATTTTTATTCTGGCTATGGTAATTATAGTTTTATACCTGTCCAGTCTTACACATTTTCAGACATGAAAGTCCTTAGGTTTTTATGCGTAGACCTACAATTATCGTCACCTGTTTGTGTCTGCACAGCTTGGCAAATACAGAGTACAAGAGGAAGTACATGACATCTCTGGGTAACCCTTTTTTCATTGGAGAAGTTTTCTTTCTTCCAGTTCCTTGGAAGCAGTTTCTCTGGTCACTGTTTCTGCATACTGGAAGAACAGTAAATGATAAAAAGTGCAGTTCACTGATACAGAGCAACCTGAAATCATTAGGTAAACTACACACAGTCAAATGTGTGTTGTAGGAAAAACAGATACAAGATGGAAACAATAAATGTATGTCATCCTTACAAGACAGAAAAGTTTATCTAACAGCACTGGAAAATACTTACCAGAATCACAGATAAAGCATGTTGACTTAGTGACTTACGAAGCCACACTGCTCTAATAAGATAAACAGTATTTGAAACTTCCTTTTGTGGCTACACTTTTTCATTTTATTTCCTTCTTATTAATCAAATTAAGCAATCATTATTAAATAGATATAAATGCTTTCTACTTGTTACACCCTTAATCTTTACATTACCTGGATCTACGTTATTAGGTAGGGAAGTAAGATTCTGCAGGAGGTAATCATGCAGTTTTTCTCCTAAGTAACATCAGAAGAAATAGACCAAAATATTTATTAGGCTATGCTGAAGAGCATCCTGTGAGCAGAAACAGCAGCTGCAGTATCATTTACATGCTCCAGTAGCTTAAACTGTATTGATAAGACAGTAGAACATCTGATGCTTGAAAGCACTGGATTGGTAGAAGTACCTAAAAATATTTTTTACCGGTCTTTTCTTTGTCTTGAAAGTTGCAAAGTCTCAAGAACAATCTCTCTGTTCTTCCTTCCTGTGTTTGAAGAATTATTAAAAAAATAAACAGAACAAACCCCAAAACTCACTGGAAGATAAAGTTTTATATTTACTGAAACTAAAATACAGTCTCCCAATTTCTTCTTACCGAAATCGTACACAAAATAATATTCATATATCTTCCACTGTTCTGTGTCCAGAAAATCACAATGTGGAACAGAATATTTTGTGATTGACTGTACTTCTCTTTGGATTCCTTTTTGAAATCACCTTAGAGAAAGGAGAGTGGAGGGGAAGGGGAAGCAGGGAAACACTGAAGGAAAATGTTCAAGAATTTATGTGACAAAATTAGGTAATTATTTATCTTCTTGTAGCAAATTGTACTGTTGCAGATCTTACTGATGCTATTGAATATATTGTTGAGTGCGCAGAGTGTAATTATGGGAAGACATCTCTATGTCTATATTATCACTGCATTTCACCACATTTATTATGTGAAAAGTGATATATGAATCTAGAACTTTCAGATCTTAAAGCCATTGCTGTTCTTGAGGGGGCAACGTATACTTTTCACGACTGTTCTAATGGCCCTCAATATGGCACTATATTTGTGACCAATTTCTTAATCATAACTAGCTAAGACAGGTATTTACTCTTCCCTTGACGTTCCATCTCCTCAAAATCTTGAAGAAAAATAGCTCTTAAATATTAGGGATATAAATATGAGATTTTTTCCTGAGACCAGCAGCAAAATGAGTTGGATCTAGGCAGAGTTACACAGGACAATGCATAGCCAATGAATCATTTAGCAACTAAATGCCCTATCAAGAAGAAACATGCTGTGAAAGATTCTACATTCAGAACTGCTGCCTGCCTCAGTACCTACAGATTCTGAATGAAGCTGTGCTTGTTTATAGCCTTATCAATGCTAAGCAAGACTATGCTGGCCTGTTTATGATCTCAGAAAAGAATGCAGCTTAGGTAATCTTACCTCCTTCCCTTTTTTCCTATTAAACATGTAAGTAAACATAAAGGAAGTAAAATACTCTTAGATGAAGTTCAAAGGATCTGGGAGGCACTGGGGCTGACGGTGGAGCAGTCTTGGGGAAGAGAGAATGAGATAAACCTGGAAAAGAGGAAATTAATGAAAAGCTAAGCTGAGTCCACGGAACAGAGTGGAGAATCTGAAAGTTGAGAGAGAAAAGATCTAAAACACATAAGCAAGCATAGTTACTTGATAACAAAGGATCTATTGGAAGACACAGAAAGTATATAATTCTAAGATGATACTGTATGTCAGTGGCTGTAAGAGAACGAGAGAATGAGAAGAAACTGGTGGCTAACTGAACGCTGTTGTAGAACCAAACAAGAGTTTGAGGACTCAAATGAACAGGAGGAAAACAGAAGTAAGTCTAGAGAAGGAATAGCCTCTTTCTTCGTTGTTTTTTTTTTTTTTTTTTTAATGTCAGAATTATATCCTGAATATTCAGAATCTACATGAGATTAAAAATCACACTTCTACCACACCATAAATACTGGAGTTGAAATTTATTGTCCTTTTTTTTTTTGTACTTTATATCAGAATAGAAGTACTTTTTGCCATCTTAATGAAAAAAGAACAAAAAACTCAAAAAAAAAAAAAAAAGAAACAAAAACAAACAAACAAACAAACAAAAAAACCAGGAAATTCTTAGGATTCTTCTGGATTTGATTTACACCATTAATGTTTGCACTAGTTTAGGCCTTTACAAAAGGAAGCTCATTGGACTATTGGAAGCTCAAGGAGCTCATTGAGCTATATTTACATCTTAAACAAACAAAAAAACAACTGCTGAAGTTTATAATTAAGATCAGTTTTATAAAAGAACTTTGAAATTTTATTTCCTTTGTTGAAAAATAAGTTTTAATGGAAAAATATGACTAATACATGATTTCCCTCACAGGACTAGTTTAATATGGAAAACTGTCCTTCCATACTAAAACACAAAGGACTTGGCATCCAAACTTGCTAATAATCTGGAGTCAATACAATAGATTTAATCTTTCCATTCCTTTTTCATGAATAACTTCTTTGGCTAAAATATAGATTATTCTTGATGCCATAATTTCTGTTTTAATTGAATTGCTGAGAATGAGAATTATTAGAAAGTGTTGTGTGATGAGAAGTTCTGTTTGGATAATATGGTCTTAACAGCCCTTGTTCTCCCCAGTATACAGAGTCTTCCTTAAAAGGATGTAAGGATGTGATAGTGCATAGTTTATATACTACATTCTGTAAGATAATAACTTCAGTATGTATGCATTCTGTGATTACTGGATGGGATAAAAGAAAACATAAACTAAAATAATATAAAAGTGTTATAGAAAGAGTCATTACAAGTAAAATATTCTTTTTCAGTGGAATTTATGTTTATGTAGGTCACTCCTGATCACGCTGTTGAAACATTCCTTCTGAAATCAAATTTAAAGAATTCACAACATTTTAAATTGAAAATAATGTGGATGCACTGGTCATGAAAAACGCTAGGCTAACACTTTGTAGTAAAGACTTCAGGAGTTTTTATGAGGACTGACCTGTTAATAAACTTACCGGTACTTCTGAAGAAATCACATTTAGAAGTGAGAGAATAATTTAGTTTTGTGTGAAGTCCTTGATGACAAGACAGGACAGTGGTTTTCAAATGTCAGGATAAGAGGCAGTGGGTACAAACTGATACATAAGATGTTCCATCTAAACATCAAGAAGCATTTATTTACTGTGTGAGTGATGGATCTCTGGCACAGGTTATCCAGAATGGTTGTGGAGTGGAAGAAGTAAAGCAAAAAGTAGGATTGCTACCCTGGACTTTAGGAGAGCCAACTTTGATCTCTTTCGGGACCTACTTGGAGCTATCCCATGGGCTAGGTTGTTGGACGGTAAGGGGGCCTGTGAGAGCTTGTCAGCATTTAAGCGGCTCTTCTTCCAAGCTCAGGATCAGTGTGTCCCTGTGAGGAAGAAATCGGGAAAGGGTGGCAGGAGACCTGTGTGGATGAACAAGGAGCTCATGTGCAAGCTCGAAGGAAAGAAGAAGGTCCATGAAATGTGGAAAAAGGGTCTGACCACTTGGGAAGAATACAGCAATGTAGTCAGGGCCTGCAGGGATGCGACGAGGAAGGCTAAAGCCCACCTGGAATTAAATCTGGCAAAGGTGATAAAGGATAATAAAAAAGGCTTTTTTAAGTATGTTAACAGTAAAAGGAAGACTAAGGAGAATGTGGCTCCCCTGCTAAGTGACGGGGGTGTTCTGGTAACGGGGGATGCTGAGAAAGCAGAGATACTGAATGCCTTCTTTGCTTCTGTCTTCAGTGAAAAAGCTCCCCCTCGGGAATCCAAGACCCTGGAGGTTAGTGAGAGGATCTGGGAAATGGAAGACGTCCCTTCAGTTAGGGAAGAGGTGGTCCGAGAGCACCTAGGCAACACCAATGTTCACAAATCCATGGGACCCGATGGGATGCATCCACGGGTGCTGAGGGAGCTGGCAGAGGTGATTGCTGAACTGCTTTCTGTCATCTTTGAGAGGTCTTGGAGGACGGGGGAGGTGTTTGAAGACTGGAGGATAGCCACTGTCACTCCGGTCTTCAAAAAGGGCAAGATATAGGCCAGTCAGCCTCACCTCTGTTCCTGGAAAGGTGATGGAACAGCTGGTGCTAGAAGTCATCTCCAGACAACTGGAAGAAAAGGAGGTTATCAGGAGTAGTCAGCATGGGTTCACCAAGGGGAGGTCATGCTCAACCAATCTGGTGGCCTTCTATGATGTTGTCACATGCTGGGTGGATGGGGGAAGAGCGGTAGATGTAGTCTACCTTGATTTCAGCAAGGCATTTGATACTGTTCCCCACGACATCCTTATAACAAAGCTGAGGAAGTGTGGGATAGACGAGTGGACAGTGAGGTGGGTTGAGAACTGGCTGACTGGCAGAGCGCAGAGGGTTGTTGTTGGTGGTACAGAGTCTGGCTGGAGATCTGTAACCAGTGGTATCCCCCAGGGGTCTGTGCTGGGTCCGGTCTTGTTCAACATCTTCATCAATGCCCTTGATGAGGGGATAGTGGCCACCCTCAGCAAGATTGCTGATGATACGAAGTTGAGAGGATTGGCTGACACGCCTGAAGGCTGTGCTGCCATTCAGCGAGACCTGGACAGGCTGGAGAGCTGGGCAGAAAAAAAACAGATGAGGCTTAACAAAAGCAAGCGTAGAGTCTTGCATCTGGGGAGGAATAATTGCATGCACCAGTACAGGCTGGGGGATGAGCTGCTGGAGGGGAGCTCCATGGAGAGGGACCTGGATGTCCTAGTGGACGACAGGTTGGCCATGAGCCAGCAGTGTGCCCTTGTGGCCAAGAAGGCCAATGGCTTACTGGGGTGCATTAAAAAGAGCGTGGCCAGCAGGTCGAGGGAGGTGATCCTCCCCCTCTACTCTGCCCTGGTAAGGCCTCATCCCGAGTACTGCGTCCAGTTCTGGGCTCCCCAGTACAAAAAAAGACAGGGATCTCTTGGAAAGAGTCCAGCAGGGGGCCACAGAGATGGTGAAGGGCCTGGAGCATCTCTCCTATGAGGAAAGGCTGAGTGAACTGGGTCTATTCAGCCTTGAGAAAAGAAGACTGAGAGGGGACCTGATCCAGGTCTATAAATATCTAAGGTGTGGGGGCAGAGTGGCGAGGCTGGACTCTTTTCAGTGGTGAGTGGAGACAGGACAAGGGGAAACGGCTGGAAACTGCAGCATAGGAAGTTCCACACAAATGTGCGCAAGAACTTCTTTACAGTGAGGTGACGGAGCACTGGAACAGGCTGCCCAGGGAGGTGGTGGAGTCTCCTTCTCTGGAGATGTTCAAGTCTTACCTGGATGCCTACCTGTGTGATCTGGTGTAGGGAACCTGCTTTGGCATGGGGGTTGGACTCGATGACCTCTGGAGGTCCCTTCCAATCCCTACAGTTCTGTGATTCTGTGATTCTGTGATCTTCAAAAGCCATCTGGATGTGGCTCTGGACAAGATCCTCTAAGCATCTTTGACTTCTGATTTTTTATTTTTTATTTTTTATTTTTTATTTTTTTTTCAGTTTAGACACTTGTTGGCTGAGACTTCCCGTCCAAATACTAATAATCAAGTCACATAAAATTTTCTATTTTCTATTCTATTCTATTTTCTATTTTCTATTTTCATTTTATATTCTTCCTTTCCATTTTCCCATTTTATCCTGCAAAAGTCCATAAAGATGCACTACCAAGTCTGTGTCTCGTACCTTCCTTTCAGTGCTTGTCTGTGTCTCTTGATTCAGTAGAGAAAGGGAGGTAACATGAGACATATGGAGATACACTCCATATCTCAGATGACTGAGGAGATTAATTCTACAGTTGCTTCTATAGTCAAGAAGCAACAGATCAAAGCTGGAAAGTAAACCAAGACTTTGACTCCTCCCTCTACCCCTTGCTCAGCTGTCAGATAGCACAGCGTTGTCACATGCAATGCTGTGATTTGAATCTCCTTAACATTTGGCAGGAGGGAAAGTTTTGATTCACGAGGCTTCACTTAGATCAACTTCTTGTGTAGAGATCCTCTTTTTTATATGAAGTATTCTCAGAAACTTTTCTATAGAGGAAGCTACATAAACTAAGCAAAAAGTGTTTTCTTAAAAATGAGAAGATAGTATTCAAACAAAAGAATAACACAATCTTTTAGATGTGTAAATTTGTTAGCAACTTCCTTTTATTCCTAAGTTTTAAAGCACATGAATTCAACTACTTACTATTAGGACTTACACCGAATAGTTTCATAACTATGATCTCTGATCTACGGGTGCAAAATGGTGTCTTATTTTCCCTAGATCATGAAAGCAGTCATATAATAGTACTACACTAGCTGATGTACGCTGACTCTGATTGTAGTCAAAGGTGTGAACTGGCTAGTTGTCATTTATCCACTCTTTCCTTTATTAGATCCCATTTTCCTTTTCTAACAGAAAATATCACACATCTCTCATTTAGTTCTTTGCTGCTGTCATAATAAGCTAAGACTACTTTTTTTCCCCGTGAAGGCTACATTTTGAAACAAGAAGAAAATAAAGGGAAAATAAGAAAAACAAAACAAACAAATAACAAAATGAACACCTAACACCTATTGTACTGTGCTCAAACGGAACACAAATCTTGAAGCAGACCTCCTGCACCTGTGTGCGTACATGCATTGCATATACATGCATGATATTTTAAAGAAAAATAGCACCAGATTGTGTTCTGTACTCTAAGTACATTCTTTTTAAATTGTTAGCAGAGTTCTCACTACATCTAAAATACCCCGAATACTCTAGCAGTAAAAGACAAAGCTCCTCTATCTACAAATCTTATTTACAGCTTTCACTACATATGGTGCTGTTTATTTTCAGTTTGTGGCAAATACTCTAGTGCACTTTGATAATGCTCATCCTGCTTCATCACCTCCAAGTCCCTATAGATCTTCATGAACTATGCAATTAATTACTAGTTTTCTAGGCCTCCAGCTCTCAGCTCTTTTGGGTTTAAAAAGTAAATAAACAAATAAATAAATTTAAAAAATAGCACAAGGACATAATGCAAGTTTCTATAATTATTCCTTTTTTTTTTTTTTTTTTTTTTTTTTCCTTAGTGGTAGAAACAATCAAGCCTGATTACTTTGTATTTATGTACTTCACCTTCTGGTTCTACCTCCCTTATCTCACACCTTTCACTGCTAACTTAGCTTCTTTCCATGGGGATTGGGGGTCTGTGGTACAGCATGTAGTGGTGATGTGGCTCTGCAGAGCAAAGACGCAGGACCAAGTACAGACCATCTTACTGGCTAACCACTGTGGTGGAGTAAGTAGTTGACTTTTACTTGCTCCCCTTTCCAGAGGAGAGACAGTAAGGTGAATCTTCTCTGCCTAACAAATCCTAATTTCCACAGCAAAGAAAAAAAAAAAAAAAATATATATATATATATATATATATATCAATCAGGATTTGAGACTATTTGATTCCATCTCTGAAATGAATTTAAAACTTTCCAGGTAGATCATACAATAATATAAACCCTCATTTCTTTAAGGCAGCAGATACACAAATAGCAAATGTTCAAAAACAGTCACCAATAATTACACTAAGATGGCCTCCTTCTTCCTACTCAACTCTCCTCACTTAAGAAATTCAAATGAATCACAAAGGTTTACAAAACAAAGACAAGTATAAAGGATGTCTGCTAAGGTTGCTGACATACTGAATCAGCATTTAAAAGATTTGTACTCAGTTGTTACTGAAATATGTTTTTTGCACATAGACAACACGTGTTTACTTATCTAGAACTTTCTATTATCTTTAATAATAATAGTTCACCATATCTCTGGATTACAAATGCAGGTTTTCAAATATGAGTGCAATAATAACTCAGAAAAGTTTATTGTAGTCACTTTGTAAGCCAATCTGTAACAGATGCATCAGTGTTGTTTTGGGATGTATCATCTGTTAGAGTTCATCTGACACCTTTTCATATAATACTCATAAATAACTGCAATAATAATAAAACTACCATAATGCATACCATAGCACATAAAAAAAAAAAAAAAAAAAAAAAAAAGGGAGGGAGGGAGAGAGAGAAAAAAAAAATAAACAAAAAAATTTTTTTTTTTTTTTTTTTTTTTAAATTCCTCCACTCCTTGCAGTATAGTAATCTCATGATCTCATGTCCACTGGTCCACTGATTCCAGTTGTTAGTGTCTTCTTACTGTGCTTAAGAGCTTAGTGGAATACCTTTTACCAGAGATACAATCCAAGGAAGAACAGCCAAGAGGAACACAGTGCTGCAAACTATTAATAGAGTACAATTTAATAAATGGAATTCATGAGACTGAGAAATGAGGCAGTATGGCTAGTCATCTGAGTTACATTTTAAATGTTATGACAGAAGTCACCCAGGGTATGGTCACAGATAGGCATTCTGATGAGCTGAAGGAAGCCACCAGCTTGTTCTTCTCCTCTGTTGTCTTTTAAATTTTAAATCTACACTTTCATTCTGCACTTCAAAATAAAAATTATGCTGCTAGTATACAGCCTCAGTGAAGACATAGATAGTAGGTGCATGAACAGGTGAATAGGGTTTCAATAATTAACTTTGAATGATGAGAGAAAGGTGTTTTTTATAAAAAGTCAGAAGGAATATGTGATACTCAGTTTCAGGTAACATAAAAGGTGCTTCCTTCCTTCTACCTCTCCCCCACAAAATAAATAAATAAATAAAAATAAAAATCTTCCAAACCTAATTTAATTACCATCTTAGAGATTGTTCAGCATCTTACAAAAAATATTTCAAAGTCAATAAGATGTGTAAATGTTTTACATTTTCCCAAGTCAGTGGCACACTAATCTCACAGTAATGTACTGATGCAATCTTGGCAAAAATAGAAACTAGTGTAAAAGGCTGTGTTTGATTTTTTTATATATATTTAAAGAAAAAGAATACACTTTAATATGTAGTTTGTAATGGATGAATTATGCTCCTTAATGTTATATTTCCTCTGATAATGAAGAAAAAAATTAAAGGTGTATTATCAAATCATATATATATATATGTGTGTGTGTGTGTATGTATGAGTGTATATACACATAGGTATGTATAGGAGTGCACTACTATCCTATGTATAAAATCACTGATGACACCAAGGCATGATACACACTAAATATTAAATACATCACACCTTCATGTTTTTTACTTATTTATTTATTTTTCAGTAATGAATTTGGATTGTTTTCGATTTTTCTTTTTCTTTTTTTTTTTAATATTATTATTATAATTTATTTGGCATCACTACAAAATCTGGAAATTTTATCAATTATATTTACTACATCTGCTTAATACTGAATAGGATGAAATACATTTTTTCCTGATGCATGCAGTGTTGCTTACTGAACAGGAAAAAGAGTAACTTTAAGATAATGGAAAGCTAAATGTAGTCCCAAAACTCACATCCACATTGTGATACCACATGAAAAATATAAAACTCATGGTTTTATTGCTTGATTATTCTATGTCACGCGAGGATCACAGTTTGAAGAATACTAAAACAGCTAAGAATAGTGATAAAAAGTGCTGGGACATGACATTAAAACCTGAAATGCCTATTTAGAATTGCCATTTCAAAACACATAACAACTCTTGCAGTCATTGGAATCAAGGGAGCAAAGGTGAGAATTTTTGCTTTCTTTAATCACATGTATTTCAATGAAGATAAAATAACATTTTGACTTTTTTTTTTTTTTTTTTTTTTTCTTGCTTTACTTTGAAGCTGCTAGTTGAACACTTCATCTTCCATTAAATAATCTTTTCTGACAAGATGAAAACTAGTTATCAATGCTACATCTCATGTTTATTTTTTCAAACAAAGTTGTTTTCGTACAAAGTCATTCAGCTTTTTGGAAGATTATTTGGAAGAGGCTAGTGCTCCTTTAAGAGTAAAATTATGTGGGGTACTACTGTTCATTCTGTAAGTGGAAGTGCCAAAAGCAGACAGGGATTTATAGGACTGGAAGGGAACATTGTTTAATCTTGGCTTTTGTCAGAAATAGGCTTCGCTATGGCAGCACTACCTTCCAGTGGACATAAAATATCATTGTATGATAGAAAGTATTGTAACACCTCTCCTCTTCTGAAAAGTAGCCACTGTCTGCCACAAAGTTTGCCAGGATCTCCATGGCTGACTTGAGTCAGGGGCTCACAGCTGTGCTGGGAAGTCTGGTTCCAGGACAGAAGTAACAGCCTGGAAAATATGCATCTATCATTGCACAATCATGAAGTCAGAACGCCCAGTTATGTGCCATCTATCCTAAGGGACTTCTGCTGCTGCTTTTACTGACAAGTGTTTTATTGTGTTCATCCTGACACCTTACTACCCTTTTACACGAGAGGATCTGAGGCATGGAAGATACGTGCTCTGGGCTTCTGAAGAGGCTTATTTGCTAACAGTGAAGTATTCCGAAAGCCTTCTCGTCAAAATCCTGTTGTTTCCATCTGGTTCCTATACACTCTTTCTTCTTTACAAGAGTTCGATGAGATGGGACAAGAAAAGCAACTTTTTCTCAGCTGAGCTTAGAGCTCCACGGGCACGAAATCTGACCGCTCCTTGGGGAGAAATTCAGAGAGCTGCCAAGTACAACCGCGACCGCGTGCGCCAATACCGCCTTGTAATAACGCTCCTAACAACCTCCTGACACCCCTCCTCGAACCGGTAACCCCAAGCATTTCTTCAGTCGCGCGTAAAACGGAGCAAGATGTTCCGCTGAAGAAACACTTCAATTTCTGCGAAATCCACTTACCGAGGGAAGTTTTGAGGGAGGGAGACGACGAGCATCGCGACTTGCCAAAGTCGGGGGGTCCGGACAGCCAGGAGCAGCGCGGCCCAGCCCTGCCCCGCCCGCTGCCCGCCGGGATGCGCCCCGGGCCGGAGAGAAGTGACGTCACCCTCCTTCTCCGCCTCGCCTCCCCCCGCGTGTGTGTGTGTGTGTGTGTATTCTTTCGGCGTGGGGTTCGCGTGCCCCTCCAGCCGGCGGGGCAGGCTAGACTGGGCGCTGGCTGCTGCTGTTCCATCCAGGCAGAGCTCGTTGCGTCGCTCATTCCCTCACACTCTCCCAGAGGTCGGCAACAAGCTTTTCCCAACACTCGAGGCCGTACATATCCTGCGATCCACACAGCCTAAGAGGATTAAAAACAAACAACAACCAACCACCACCAACAAACCGCGCACAAAACAGAGGGAGGAAGAGAGTGCCATCTCCAGCAGCGCGTTCGCCGTACCGCTTGTCCCGCTGCCCCCGCGCTCCCTCGAAGGAGCGGGCGGGCAGGGAGGGGCTGCCGGTGCCGGGGCTCTCGAGGAAGGTTCCCCAGGATTTTTGTACGCCCCGCGCAATCCCCCCTTGAATTTGCTTGCACAGCACTTTTTTTTTTTTTTTTTTTTTTTTTTTTTCTTCTCCCGGAGGATGGCCGGTAGAGTTGGAACCTGGGTGGGCGACCTCGCTGCTATTTGTAGCCAGATAATCTGCTGAAAGAGAGAAGGAAGAAAGAAAGAAAAAAAAAAAGGCGAAGGGGGAAGGAAGAAGGAGAGAGAAGGGGGAGGAGGAGGAGGAGAAGAAGGAGGAGGAGGGGAGGAGGAGGAGGAGGGGAAACGGAGCAGCGGCTCGGGAACAGAGAGCGCGCCCGGGAGCAGCAGCAGCAGCAGCCAGCGCCGCAGGAAGAAGGAGAAAAAAAGAGCGGAGCGGAGAAGAGGAAAGGAGAGGGGGCGCTCGAAGGAGAGGCAGGCGGAGACCTGGCTCTGCTGGATGCTGGATTTTCGGACTCTCGTTGACTCCCTCCTACTCCTCAGCGCCGGAGTGTGAGACTCGCACCCGTGCCGGCAGCAGCGGCCGGCGGCTCCGCTCGTAGCTGCTGCTGTTGCAGAGCTTGGATTAAATTGGGCGCCTTCGGAGACAAGCGTGAGCAGCGGGAAGAGGTGGCGGCGGGAAGCGGCGGCGGTGGAGGGCGGGCAGGCAGCGGCGCTGGCTGCCGCTGGGACTGGGGAGCCAGCATGACCAGGTAACCGCTTCTCTCCTGACCCATTTTCTCCACTGCCGCTCCATCGCGGCCACCTCTCTCGGCGCGTTTGTGCGTGCGAGCGCGCTTAAAGATTGTGTGTGTGCGGGTGTGTGTGCGTGTGTGCAGCGCGGCACACGTGTGCCTCGAGCACGGCTCTACCCCGGCTGCCCCGGGGTTCCCCTCAGGCAGCTGCCAGCCCTCTCTTCTCTTCTCTCCGCTCCTCTCTAGCGGGATCCAGCCCAACAGCGAGGCCTGCTTGGGAAACGAGGAGAGTTGTGGTGTGCGGCGGGGGGTGGGGGTAGGATGAGGGCAAGTGATTGATCAGAGTCGACGTTTCCACTGAACTGCCACTCTGCACGGGCGGGGGGGGGGAAGGGGGGGGGGGAAGAGGGAGGGGGGAAATCTACATGAATTACGCTTCGGCCGTTTGCTTTGAAGGAAGAATTATTAATATTAATTATTGCATTTAATCAGCGTGGAGGAGGGAGGGTGCAGGAGGGATCTGAGGCCAAGCGTCTGCTTCAGTGACGGGCGAGTGGGGCAAGAGGCCGTGAGGGGCTCCAGGCTGCGGTCCGAGGAGGGCTCTCTTCTCCTCCTCTTCCTCCTCCTGTCTCGGCGGAGCAGGGAGGCACGGGGATGCAAAGCTTTTCACTGGTTAGGCTTTTAATTTCTTTGTTTACTGTCCCGAAACCACTTAAAAGAGAGCACATCGGGTTGAAAACAGCGTTCTTAGCGTTGATGTAGAGGCTCGAAGATTTGTTGAGAAAACTTACCAGCTCCCTCTCCCTCTACGAGGACTCCTGCTGCGAGCAGACTCTCCCAGACCGGCGAACAAAACAGTTGTTCCCTTTCACTGAATTCTTTTTTTTTTCCACGTTTTCTCTCTACCTCCTCCCTTCTTCCCTCCCTCTCTCACAGAATTTTTTTGTTTAAGCTGCCGCCACTTACCCTTGGATGTATAGCTTTTGACTGCCTGCTCCTGCTTGGTACTTCTTCAGACTATTGTCATGCGTATTTTATTCTTTTGCCCAGCTTTTGCATAGCTATTGCTTCACAGAGGCATGATACTTTCTTCGCAGGGATGATAGTTTTTTTGTGTTCCCAGTTCTGACATATATGAAACGGTCAGTTCATTTACACAGAGCAGCTAGAGGTTAGTATTTATGTGCTCTTTCACTTGTCACCTTAAATTGCTCTCTTTGAGATGAGTCTGTACATACGCTTTCGAGTTTCCTGTCTGCAGAGGTGAGCTTTTTTCATAAAAACCATATTTTCATAAACTTAGAATGTATTATAGGAAGTTATGATTATTGTCTTAGACTTTCAGAGATTGCTTCCACCTTCTGTGAATAATAGGGAGGTTTATTGTAAATTTTTTTGCAGATATAGGAAAATGTATAGTATGTAAAGTATTTTTCCATCCTCTGGTACCTGTTAGTGCTTTCTAATGTTATAATGGTTAGTACTTTCTTACACTGGTATAAAAATGTACAGCATATGATATGACTTTCTGCTTGGTTGAAAGCACACAAAGCTCCTAAAATTCTCAAACAGTGCAACTCTGAGGAAGAAAAGATTCTTCCCTCTCCTAAGCATAATCATATGTACCTGCATTTTACTTCAGGTGGTAGTTTTTTGGATAGTTTCTCTGAAATCAGCCTCATAAAATCAGCTATTGCTGTTTTTGTTTTTTAATGTGCAGAATTTACTGCTGTCCAGTTTAATAAATTCAGCTGTCCAATTTTGACCAGTCAAAATTATTAAAAGCTGTAGATGTATTAGCAAGGAATTTTGAAGGAAATGAGTTACTTAGAAAGGAAGAGGGATTTAATGAGACTTGTTACAGGAGTAGCTTTCCAATTTTAGTTTTGTCATTTGTGGTAATATGGTGAAGTATATTTAGATTTCTTTCAGTGCAGAAATGATGTATAGCTTTTCTATATACACTTTAAGTGCTGAAAGCTTTGCCTAAGTAGGAGACTTCTACTCTAAGAAGGAATTAAGGAATTCATTACTGTTTGTGTGTGCTACAGCAATCTGTAAGGAATAGTGTGGAAAGGAAAATACTGTTTCAGTATTCTTAGACTTCAATAAAGTATCTTAGAATTTACTTTTAGATTCACCAGTCACGTTAACTTTAAAATAATAGAACAAAGTAATATGAATTAAACATCCTTTTCTGACTGTTATGTAACTCAAAAAGCAGCATTGACAGCAACTAAATGAAGGACAGTAAGTCAGTGTTTAGTACTACGGGATGATTTGTAAAAACAGATATGGGAGTGTATGAAATAATGAAATACCCACTGTTTTTAATGTAGTTAGTGATTCAGCTTTCATTTTTCCAATTGCCCTTCATTTCTACATTTGAATAAAGCACAGACAGAAACTACAAGAGCCAGAAAAGGAATCCCTCTTCATCTTCTGCTGTGTGTGCTAAGCCACTAGGGGCCTGTATAAACTGCTCTCGTACAGCACATACCAGTACATGGCATATGCTTACAGTTTCACCTGACATTTTTTCCACAGATAACTAACATCAAAAACAAAATTGTCACTCACTTATTCCTTAGTAACAAATGAGACTGCTGTTATTTAAGACATACATACAATTTATGTATAATTCTGGAGATTTTTTGCTCTCCTTCATCTGTATGCCCAGTCCTGTATGCTGTCCAATACAGTTTTTTCCTCCTTGCGCTCCTGACTACTGTGGCAGCTGGGGAATAATGCTGACTTGGGAGGTGCAAATTTTGGACAAAGTCAGACTCGTATGTTTCTGTGCATTTCATATTTTCTGTAAGCTGAAGAAATCAGGTTTGTTGCTTTTGTGTTTCTTCTATTAGATTAGTAATGGTACTGTACAATGCAAGTGTAGAGTTAACTGATAAACTAAACAGGATTACTTTAAGGCGGGAACAGACATAGATTGATGGTGTATATAAACTAGCTTTGAAAGTCTTACACCAGTTTGCAAGTGTGCAGTCTCTAAGACTTTGCCTAGAGAGTACTCAGCATTTCTGGGATCTGGGCTGGAGATGAGCTGTACATTTTTGAATGTCAGTTTCAGAAATTTAAAGTTGACAAACCATAACATTCTTGATAGACATTAAGCAATAAAGTCAAGTATGCTTACAGTGTTCCGTTGTCAGTTCGAAAAAACTGAAAATCAACAAGACAGACAATTTGTAAAAGAGCACAGCTGAAATATTTGCATATTGGATTTCCTTCCAAATAAACTTCCGTTTCTAAGCTCCTTAAAAATTCTTATTTGAAAGGATTTTCAAGCCGCATCAGTGTAAGGTCGTACAATCAAAATGCAGTCTCCTTGTGCTATGTGATTTTTTAAATAAGCTTTCTTTAAAACTGCATAGTTCTATATTTCATACGATGCTGGACCAGTTACAGAAAGGGATTTCTTGTCATATTTCTGACAACAAGTTGTGCAAATATTGACCGAGTTTAGTTTTTTGAAATGTGTGTGTGAATTTATGTAAAATCCTGATGGAATTTAATGAAATACACTTTAAAGGTCTTGTGCAAAGGCAGACATCTGAGGAAAACTCTAAGTTCTACTGAGTGTTGGTAAACTAACGTGGTATCTCCAAAATGCAGGGGCTAGATGCTTCATTTGTCCTTTGAATATCAAGAGAAACAATATAGTACAGGACCATGAACCATCATGTTTCACTTCAGCACAAGATGAAGACAATTTTTTTAACCTTCTGTTTTTTAACACTTGAGGAACAGGTACTGATAGTGGCAGTTTAAGGCAAAGATACATAATTCTCTTAGTATTTTAACAAGAGATTGCTTAGGCTCTAGACCTATTTAATAACAGTTG